AAGATGATTTGCCGAAAAGTATACTTTGCCTAACAAATTAACTTTTCAAGAACAATTTAAATTGCAATTTTGTCCTCATCGTGTGGTATATTGTAAAGCTTAACAGTCAGAAGTCCTTGAAGCCTCTCCGTAGCGAAGATTGTCCGCGACTCTTACTTGTAAGGAAAAAGAAAGTCTTTTCGCCCATTTTCTTCTTATAGCTGAGTAACTGAATAGTTAGAGACTCAGACGAAGAAAACGCGACCACTGGAGCAAAAGCTTTATTTTCCTGACTTTTCGGATTCCGTCGGTAATCCTTAATCATAGGTAATGGTAACATAGTCTGAGTCCTGCGCAGATAAGTGTGAAATCTTCCCAGGTTGCATGGTATTTATAGTTCATAGCAGGAATTCATGTGCGTACTGTAATTATCCACTGCTGTGGCCACCGCTTGGGTCTTAATTGGTGCGATGATGGTTTGACACTTCGCGTTCGACTAATTAATTGCTGTGATTTCCTTGTCCGTGTTGGATGCGAGCTTGGAAATTGCACGACAATTATGCTCGTTGTCGTCAAAGTTGTTGTTGCTGGGCTCGAACCTTCCCACGTACCTGATTCTATTGCTCAGCCAATGTCTCATTACAGATTCTAAATAACCTCCTGGATTCGCCACATCTTCCTTATGTGAGAAAATGAACATAATAAATTAGGCTTATAGCGCCCAGAGTCGCCATCTCCCCCTTAATATATAAAATATCCAATAGAAGAGACCGTAGAAAACAAACTTCTGCTTCTCTATAGTTTATTTTCTCTTGAAAAAGGAGTGTTTTGGTGCTGACATTCGGAGCTCAGGGTCTGGGACGCGCTGTCAGTTTTCTGCCTTCATTAAATGAAGCTGTGGAAGGTGCGAAGAAAATATTCGCTACCCTCGACCGTCGGTCTAGACTGCCAACGAACGAAGGTGAAGAACCGGATATTGCTGTTCGTGGAGAAGTCGAATTTCGCAACGTGCACTTCAGATATCCAACGCGTCCAGGTTTCGAAGTGCTGAAGGTAACGTTTCCGTTGTGGTCTTTTCAAAACATTCATCACCGTTCATACTCTGAGCAAAATATTTAAAATATCGCAAACAAATAGCAAGAGTTATTATACTAAATCTACATCAGCGTCTACAAACCTGTCCGCTCAAAGATTTATTTTGAAGTTTGAGAATTGCTGATGCATGTTATCAGCCACCTTGCTTAAAAAGAATACTTTTCGTTTGTATATGTATGCATATGAGAAGAAGAGGCGATCACGGGAACCATAGTTTCACTTTCCTGACGGTTCAAAAACGTACACGCTTCCGTCATCAGAGGTGGGGGTTGTACCGCGCCTCACAGTAATTATAGTAAGTGACAGTCATAGTCATTAGGTTTTAAGCCAATGCAAAGGAAGGGGGGCGGAGGATGGGAGGGATGTTCAATCATCGACGCCTGGAGGCGGATTAACTTCAGTCAAGGGGTCTCCCATCGGATTCTGCTGTTCGCGCCTGTGCAGCTTTCATTGATCTAAGCTGCCGTCCTAGGCCGGTGAGCCTGTTTGTGTTAACACGTCCATCCGGTTTCGCACCTGCAGAATGAGCGGCTAAGCTGTATATGTATATTTGGAGGCTTACGGGCGAGAAATCTCCTTGAGGACCCTATCAACGTAAATAATCCATATCATTGTTATAGTCGGTATGATGTTGTAGAAAGATGCGGTAGCATGACACACATTCGAGTGATTTGTCGCGGAATAATGCAAGATATAACTGAAAACGTTCGGAGAAATTGTAAAATCGAACCCATTTTTTGCATCTAAGAGGATTCAACATAGTTGTGTTGGTCTTAGCTTACCTTCAGATGCGTATACAGTCTGCCTACTATGGGGTGCTACGTTAACATTTACGTGGGTAGAACATTCTTCTTACGCCTTATGACCTGCCATTGAACTTGCGCGTTCATGCTGGCTGTCTCAGCATGCAAACGTTTGAGATTGGATGTCTTCTTGGTCTTTTGTGTTCAGTCGGTTATCGTAGTTGCCTGGGGAGGAGAATAGAACTTCGAAATTTGAGAGCATGCCAGGAAGGAAACTGTGGAACACAGAATTTACAAAGCTGTGAAATGAGATTAAATAAATTACACACTCAGTTTGCGTAGAGTGCTGGAATATAATAATTACGCTCACAATTTATTATTGAAATAACTAATTTTAGCTTACAGAATATCGTATATCATAGAGCTACAACCTAGGATGATACCCTGTCGCATTGACTTTACGCTAAATTTAAAAGTATGTATATATTTATATCTAATCGGTCAGCATGTATTCCTGCCTTGGTGTAGTATGTTGCTAGACTACTTTACTCGGTATTTTTACCTACTTTGTTCCTGCTACTAGGGCTTCGAACATTCTGTCAAGAGCAAGACCAACACAGCCTTTGTCGGTCAATCGGGTTGTGGGAAGTCGACTTGCCTACAGCTTATCCAGCGGCTATATGATGCTGATAATCTTGGTCAGCAGAGTGGCATTTTCCTGGACGGTATAAATGTACGCCAACTTAAACCCGCCTGGATTCGCCGACATATTGGTATCGTCTCCCAGGAACCAAATCTCTTTGACATGAGCATTCGAGACAACATTGCTTATGGCGCACTGGACAGGGAGGCCACTATGGAGGAGATAATTGCGGCAGCCAGAGGTGCCAATATACATGACTTCATACAGAGCCTTCCAGAGGTATGGCCAAAAAGCGCGCACTACTACACTAGTGCATATAAATTTGGCTGACATTTTTGAGTTCCTGCGCGGGGTTCAGCGCAATCTAGGGATTTCATAACCACCTTCCATATTGTTGACTTTCATTTCAAGTCAGTTTATTTTAGTATGCGTACCACTCGGTGGACTACAGCTTCTTAGGAAGAGCGTTATGCAGGGAATATGAACAAGGCACCCACGGTTTAGTGAATATATAAAATCAACGATGCCAATAATTTTTAATTAATTTGGGCAAATTGTGAAGGGCTAATAATCGGCAAGATTCGATGTAAAAAGTTTAGTCTGGCCAAACACCTATGCACTTAAAAGTATCCATTTAATGGATTCTAAATGGGTTGTTTAAGAAATCCTGCTTAGATTGCAAAAGTTGCAGTAGATTTGGCGGTAATTAGGCTTGAATCATAATTAACCTCCCAGTTATTTGTAGAAAATCTTAGCTCTGTTGTTCAGAACATTGGATGTACTTTATCCTTGCTTCCAGTGTCGTGGGTTTGAATTCCACCAAAGCCAGCAAGGTTTTCACAATTGGCTGGAACTTATTGTCTTAATATTCAAAAAGCACCTGCTACGTTTGATTACTTTCAATATGATATATCAACAGTGCTGACCCACAGACTGTCAGTCAAACTAATCAATTTACATATTGGCTACGCAACTTAGCCCTCCAATCTAATCGAGTTTGGCACGTAAAAGTAAGGATAGAGGTTTTTTTATACAGTAGTCGCCGGTTATTAAGCCCTT